AGAGGGCAGGTTGATATTACAGGTTCAAACACATAGTAAGAGATAACATATTGGGCAGAAAAAAATATATTGAGAGAGTTAGGGGAATTAGGTTCTTTGAGGTTATAAGAAAAACATATTAGAGTGCACAATGCCAAATAAGTTTAGAGTAGGGCACTAACCTATAGGATTTCAAATGTCAATCTGGTACAATGAAAGTTCTAGCCTGGCAGCATATACAACATACTAGTGGCACAACTTAACCAATATCATGAAAACTTAACATAATGGGGAATAGATCATAGTACAAAAACTTATGGCATGTGAAAGGGGTAGATTAGAAACACATTAACATGTCAGTTGACCATACATAAGGGAGAAAAATGGGATATTTATCCTAAAGTCTTAGATGATGCTAAAGATCAGGATTACAAATAGCAAAGAAACATGTCAGGGCTAGATCTTAAGGCAGTATTGTAACATAAGATCCATATAGTTGTGACCAGTTTGCAAAGAATAGTCGATTAAACACAAGACTTAGCACAAAGTAACTCATTCAAAGCAGAGGAATGATTTCATAAGAGTTTTAGTATAGTACCCAAAGCAAGGTATAAATACTAACTAACAACAGGTAGTCATGACAGTCAGGTTCATTAAAGGAACACATATAATAGACATGTATTGAAACTCAAAGCTCAAACATGTTCAGATGCTAAGAAAATACAGAGGTACAGAACTTATTTCAAAGGAAAATAAGGAAACCAATATGGGAGTGTAAGATATAGTGAAGAGCACATATTAGCCTAACACAAACTTAGAACAAGCTGGAATCTATCATATGTATTAAAATGCATTCAATTACTCCCTTCGTTACAATTTATGTGAACCTGTTTGACTGGGCACAGAGTTTAAGAAAAAATGAAGACTTTTGGGATTTGTGGTCCTAAACAAGTCAAAAAAGGGCCCAAAGTATTTGTGTGGTTATAAAAGCTTCTAATTAAAGGTAAAATTATAAGTTTAAGCAAAATTATTTCCAAATTTAGAAATGGATCATTATTTTTGGAACGAACCAAAACGGAAATAGGTTCCCATAAACTGGAATGGAGGGAGTATTAAAGAATATAGAATGATAGGAGAGTATTACACGATATCATAGCAGTGCTGCATCAAGGATTCACAACTAACAAAGGAACTAAATAATGCCCACAGAATTTAAACATTCTTAATATCTAGAACACATTAAGATATACAGAAGAAAAAATATTTGACACTGCAAGAGTTAAAGACACTAACCAGTAGCAAAATTAGACAAGCAAAAGAACAAGGATTTAGAATATTGGAAATAAGAACCCCAAATCTCCGATGCTTCAGAGTTCACACGAGCCTCGTAAGGGCCCCGAGCAGTGCTTGCACCGGAGGAGGTTGAAATATTATGGCCTTGGCTTTCAACCAGCCAAAGAGCCAAGTGTTTCAAAGAAGATGAACGAGAGAAGAACATATATTGAGTGCAATAACTGTGACAACTTAGGTCCGGCCAGAGGGGAATTGGGGAGGGGTTTATATAGTAGTAGAAATTAAACACCCAAACAAGGAAAAATAACCAGTCAAACACGAGAACGGAAAGAATATCACATGAAATCAAAAATCAGTGAGGAAAAGGGAAAATCTCAAACTCTAATTGACATAAATCAAAGATTGGTCGAAGATCTTGGTGAACCGGACCTTACAGCCTTGCTACAAACGTATATAGACGAAATATCGTTTGGATCTCAACGATTGAAGCTGATTTCACATGATTTGAAGCTTGGTACTTGACGAAAATGGGCAAGTACTAAGTAATACCATAATCGTGTAAGTAACAATGAAGTAGCGCGTAAAAGGTAAGAAAATCACAGAAGGAATCCATGGTTCGATCGAATTTGGAGAAGATTTAGAAAGGCGGCTAGGGTTTCTGAGGGAAAAGGGGGAGAGTGTTTAGAGGCGACTACTGAAGGAATGGGGATTAGGGTTTGGGGTTGGGTAATTAAGAGTGAGGGGTTAATCGTGGGTGTTGATCTCTTAAGATCAACAACCAGAATTTTAAAGAAGGCGAGGCGGGTCATTTCAAACAGGTCATGCCCGAATTTTAAAGGGGTCGTTTGATTGGGCTACTGAAGAGGAGAGTGAATGAGCTAAGTGTTTGGGCCAAAATTGATCCAAAAATTAGCCTAAAAATTGGGCTAGTTTTTAAATAGGAGATTAAAAGGGAAATAATTTAATAAAAATAGTTAAATAAATATATAAAAAATGCTATTTATGAAACTTAATACTTTAAAACAATAGTAGAAGATTATAAAAATTTAGAAACTTATTTTGACCTTAAATAAACTGACAAATGCAATAAATTACAAAATACAAGCCATTATTACAAGATTGTGTAAAAATAGCCTAATGATACCAATATAACTATATAAAATGAAGTAAAAATATTTGAAACATATATATGGATGCAAATAATAATTTTAGATGATTAAGTCATCACAAAATAATTTGAAGGAGTAATTAATAAATATTCAAGTAATTTAAACGTAAGAAAATTAATTTTAAAGCTTTAAAAATTATGAAAAATTATAGAAAATGCTTGTATAGATCTTGTAAGTTAAATAGTGAAGCAGAATGACATTTATATGCTATTTGAAAAAATATGAGGGAAAAATTGAGTATCAACATTAATGACGGTTGAAAGTAATTTAATTAGTGAAACTAACAACAAGTCAATGAACTCAAAATTGAAGGTTCATATGTCAGCTTTAGAAAAATTCGTATCGCGATAGACCTGATTGTCATTTTTCAATTGAGGTTATTTTGATGGATGAAAATGTTATGCTTTTAAACTTTAGATTTCTATTTTACATTGTTTACATATGTGTTAGTATATTACAGTAATCTATAGAATAACTTAGTCATGTAACTAATTGAGTATTGGAAAGTCTCTTATCCAAAGGGGGAAAAAAGCAGATAACTTCTAGTCTGTTAGTTTTCTGTTTCGCTGATCATTAGGAAAGTTGTGCATATTATTGCCTCTACTTTAAAACAAATTTTTATATAGATACTAGAGGAGGGATGGCCCATGCTGAGCATGAGCCCAACCTGAATTACAAAAATAATTTCCTTAATTTTATTTCTCTAGTTATTTTGTAAAGATTATTTATATTAATTTAAATAATATATTTAAAGATAAAAAATATATATGGATCTTTATTTAATAAAAATATTATTTTTTCGAGTTAACCATCTGATTTTAAACTTATTTTGTTGGAATTAAACATCAGCGAAAAAGATATAAAAAGGTTTCAAATATTTCATTAGATTGCTTCTTTTTTTGTTTTTTATGTTTGTTTTTCCCTCATATTCTAATTTAAAATTTACAATAAATCTTTTTAGCAAAATAATAANTAGTAAAATAATAAGTAGTCTTGTTGGTAACACAAAAAATTCATAGGCAACACATATTGATAATTTCTTAATGAGTTAAATGTAAGAGAAAAAAAGGCCCTAATTTATTTAAACCTCATCAATTTGTGAATAGCTAAATAATTTTCACTTTTTTCGTTGATAATTCATTTGCTAATAGTTTTAAATAAGATGAGATATCCTCTTCTAGCATAAGAAAATTATGTGTTACATTAAAAGTGGACCTGAAAATATAAAAATAAATATTTCTAAAAGAATACCAGCTCTACTCTTTCTTTTTAGAGACTTTTCTTATTAAGTGCTTGAATTAAAGACAATTATTTGAGCAATTACACCTTAAATATTTACTTGACCTTCAAAATAATCATGAAAAGTAGTAAAGTTATTATAGTTTGAATAGTAATATCGTGAGTTCTAATTTGAACCCATGTTATTTTCTAATCAGATTACTCTTTTCTTATATAATATATATTCCAAAAACATAAATTTACTACTAATATTCTATTTTCATTTTCCTTTTTCACATGAATTATCGTCATTGGATTTTCTTTTTTTCCTTTTCCTAATACTGCAGTACTATGCTATTTTACAAATTTTAGTATATTCTCTATTATTATTACTCCATTATTTTGTGTTTCCAATTAAATGAAAGGTTGAAATATAATTGTGTTGCAATGTCGCCAAAAGGAAAAACTCAAGCCCAAATATAATAAGGTGGACCTTTGTGAAAACCAGCAACGAACCTTTGAGTAGAAATGACACCAGGTAGTCACTTTTAAACATCCAAACTTAAATTTGGACGTCAGGACTTAATGTCCTGAATTTTTGAGCCGCTAATTTGAAATTCAGGACTAAGAGTCCTAAATTTATGAACCGCTAATTTTAAATTCAGGACATAAGATTCAAACTTTTGGACACAATTCTTAAACTTTAGGCGATGTCCTGAAGCTTAAACGAATTGGTTAATCTTTAAATACATTGTAAACTGTAAATATATTTTAAACAACAGGCTTAAAAATGGCTACCGGTGCACTTCGCGCAACCTTTGGTAGCTGAAAAAAGATAAGAACTGTTTGATAAAGCTATCGATTTATTTTCAATTTAACTTTAAAAACTATTATTTTCTCAAAAACTCATTTTTCTGAAGTAAAAGAAATTTTTTGAATGCAAAATAAAAGTTGTGCCTAGTGTAAATAAAAGACAACTTTTACTGAATAAGTAATTTTTTTTCACCAAATACACAATTATTGCTCGTCAGTTTCTACTTAATGGAGTTCATCTTGATCACTTATTTTGGAATATATGAATGCTAAATTGGTAATGAAACAAACCTTGTAAAAGAAGCCACTGCCCCCCCATCATTTTTCATTTGAAAGCTTAAATTCCAATTACAAGTGATGGCAAAAACTTAGTCTTTGGCTCATTGATATCTTCCAAAAAGCGATCTAGTATTATTAAGGTGATCTCACAAGCTCTAAAGTCATGAAAGGTGCATCATGGGTTATAAGAATAACAATACTCGCTTGCTTTTTAACTGTTAACAAAAAACAAAAAAAATACTTGCTTGCATTTGTGCATTTATCATTCTTCAGAAGGATTCAGAATGCAGTGTGAGTCCTTCAGCAATCAATAGTTTTTTCGTGAGCATTGGGAGTTAGCACAAAGTCTTGAGCTCCTCACAGAGAACTAAACATCTAGGTATGAATCATAAAGGTAAAATCAGAGGTCCTTCGTTGGAAGCCACAGGCTGAGTGCTGAACACCTTAGAAATTTTCTTAGTCAACCTTGTATCATTTCTCAGTGGATTGTTGAGCGATCTCATTGTACTTCCCAGATAGTAAGCATCTGTTGGATCAACTGCTTGAGTAACTTTAAGAATAATGGGAATTCAGCTAAGAGAGAGCCAAGCTGATGTTGCGTAAAGTTGTCTTTATTTGCAACAAAAGATTAGAGCTAAATGAACAAGAACGTAAAATGCATTACAAAGTACATATTACATAAACAACAATTGCTTCTTTTTTATGCAGAGAGGTCAAGCCACAAGCAAAACATACAAATGTGCATACTAAAATTTAGCAGCAGCCTTATTCCGCGGTCAATTTTCCATACTGCAATGATTGAATTCCACAGGTTTAACATCTTGTACTAGTAGATTTGCAGGTCATCCCATGGTGTTGGTGCAGAACGGCAAAGCAAGCATCTTAGAATTAGAAGGAAAAATAATGAAAAAGGATTAAGCTCACCCATTTAGACATATCTTGTTCGTCAAATAATTATGATTGGGAAAGTATACTTAGGGTAACTGGATCCTGAGTGCCGTCGAGGCTTATGAACCAATTATAATGTCAACTATATCTCATAACTTTCAATACATTTGTATATTCTGAAAGTATACGTAGATGACAGTAAGAGAGATTTGATAGTTTGAGGCATGATCGGAAGAGTAACTGAGGTCATTCAAGAATGCTAAATGTAAAAAAAGAAAAGAAACTTGCTCTCTTTAGTACCTGTTTTGGATAGCTCTTCTTTCTCAAAGTTGACAAATCTTTCAGACTGCTGTCCTAGAATATACCAGCTTTTGTCATTTATGAATGAGCTTTCTAGAAAAAGGAAAAAGAATTATAATTGAGCATCTTTATCATTAAGGAGGAACAAACCTCCTCTGCATAACTCAAACACGACAAATCAACATTCGCAGATTGTGTCCATCCATAATCAATGAACTTAATGCCGTGGATGCATTGTTTGTGTCCTTACCTGGAGAGCTAATATTTTCTTAATTGTGTCTGGATCTGCATGTGGTTGCACATCAACATTTGATATTATTGGTATTCTAGGAGTTCTGATCTCTGTTGCACCAGAGCAGCTTCTAGTCTTGAGACAGCTGGATTCATAAAACTTAGCTAGACGTACCTGGAACAATCAAAATCCAATGTTAAGATGCGAACAACATTGGCAATTGGCAGCCAAAACAACAGCGTTTGAAGAGAAAGAAAATACCATCATTAGAGCTTTGAATCATTTTGCTTTTGCTTCTACCACTTCCACTCCTTTAAGACCTCCGGAGACTGCATAATTTCCCTGTAAAAATATACAATGTCAACAACAAAACTGGAAAATGCTTAGCCAGGTGCAGTATTGCAAAATGTATAATAAATATGGTATTAGTCTGGTTATAGAGCATTTGAAAAAACTTACTGGGCACAAGAAATTTGCAATCTGAACTTTGTTGGCTTCATCAACTTCCTCATTAGCTGAATCACACAGTTTGTGGACCTTCTCGAAGTCCAGTCCAATTACTGGTTATAGAGCCAACTTCCTCAAATGCTCTGGTTATAGAGCATTTGAAAAAACTCACTGGGCACAAGAAATTTGCAATCTGAACTTTGTTGGCTTCATCAACTTCCTCATTAGCTGCATCACACAGTTTGTGGACCTTCTCGGAGTCTAATCCAATTATACTAACCATTGCACTTTTTGCAGCTTCAGTAGCATCCTGAAGGAAAGGGAAATAGTAGATATTTTAGAGTTTCATGCAAGCTATATATTTTTTTTTATCATTGGATTGTTGAACATTACCTAGCTTCTCCTCTTAGCTTGACCAGCTTAAGCCCATCGAGTTAATAGATCAATGGGGACAATAATGAAATTTAAGCACTTACATTTTAAAGATTGATAAATACTGAATGATAAGAAAGTAACATCTAATACATACACAACTCCTAATATATGTGTCTCCATAAGGTTATGCAAGGCAGGAACCTGCAAGCTCCTGCAAACGCCAGAGCAATGTATTCGCCAAAGCTTAGACCACATGTGACATCAACTGAATTAATTATTTCCTGATCACCAGCACTTTTGACATCGGCTGCAACAGAGCGAGCAACTGCAGAAGCCTAGAACACGAATCACAATCTTACGAATAGACTCATCAATCTGCAATCAAATCAAATAGTGAGCAATCTGATGAAAGAGGCAGAGCAATTTAATAGTATATTTTTAATAACTGACAAAGCATATTTAACTACAAGAAATATGACTACAAAATTTTATAGTACCAGTTGGTACCAAATCACATACTATTTTCACAAAAAGTGAAAGCCGTTACATATCAATTTTCCTTCTTGTTGGTCATCTTTGTTGTACCAATTTCGGGATAAGGCACACAGTACATAAGATCTTTAAAATTCTATTGATTTGGATCACTGAATGACGAAAAGTTAGTTCAAGTCTATTCTTTCGACCGTGCAAATACGCAAACAGATATAGACATATAGCAGAACAAGTAATATCATATTTGCCATAATGGAAGATATGTTTACCTCCATCAAAATACGTGTATTAGTGATAGCTTAATAACTCTATATATCTGCTGAGGTACAGGAAGCTAACTTTGCTGATGAAACAGTAGAAAATTCTTCCACATTCCATGGGTTTGTTGTTCTATCGCCAAACCAGATATCATATCACATGTTAAAGAATCAGTGACTAATTTTGCAACAAGAACTACACTATCAGATTTCAGTCTGCATCACCCGTATCTATAAGTTATACAAATACATGTACAGGGTTGCCTCTGGATGAGGGCTCTACATTCATTAATTTATCAATACCTCTTATAAACCCAAGCTTCAACATTAAAAACTTGATCCCTGAAAGATTTGGAAGCCAATAATGTCCTTCAAACCATACGGAGCCCCATGAAGAGGACCTATAAAGAATAGAATCAAATAAATGTTTCCCTTTGAGCAAATTCAAAGAAAGCTAATTGTATATGAAGTTTTCTAATTAAGATAAAAAAAACCAATAGGATTCATTTCTTAGAATAAAGTGAAAAGTACTGGAATAATGGAGGATGTTGAGAATAGGTAAAATGCTAATAGTAGCAAGGGTATACAAGAAAGGAAGAGGCCAAGCGGAAGAGAGGAAGGATGAATATCACCCAAATATTTGCATTTTGAAAGCAGTTGATCGGCTTCTTTTGCTTGTTGATATGCTAATTCTTCAGTAATTTTGATAATGGATTCAAGGACAGGACCATACCTCTGAAGCTCCGGAATTGCACATCATTTTGAGAATTAAATTATTCAATAACAAATAAAGCCGATTACATGAAGGAAAGCATTCACCATACCTTTTTAATCTGTCCAAAAATATTTCTGTTAGTGCGCTAATGTAATTAATTTTTCCTTTAAAAGTTGCCCAAGTTCGACAATTTGATATAACATGTCATGTACTCAATTAATAAAATTTAAAATGGCATACATTAGTACAATATAGTTACTTAGTTAATATCTCCTATAAGTTAAAAGGACTGATTTCATTAGTCTTATGTTTTAGGACAGCATAAGCAAAATAACTGTACAGATTTTTACTACTGGTGTAAAGGAATCACAACATTTCAAAAGAGAGCAATTAGAGCATGTAATACTAATAAAGAGGGCTTCAGCGAGACAATAGAGACCACTGTTATAAATTAATGGGAATGTAGACAACTGATCAGCTGAGTAAAATTCTGTACCAGTAACTCTCTTGGTTTTGGCTAATAGGATTGGAAGTTACAGATTCCATGTATTTGTAGTACCTTTGCTTGCTCATTAATTTCAAACTTTGATCTATATCACTCAATGGTGCTTTGCTTGAGCATAAGCAATACGACATATCAGTTCTATATTGCTGGAAGCTCCTATGCTGCACTTCATTGTAGACTTTGAAAATGTCACGACCCCGGTTCGCCCTCCGTGAACCATCATGACGACACCTAGTCTCTACGACTAGGTAAGCCTAAACTTGCGGAAGATAACCAAAACTTGCGGAAGTAAAACAATTTAAAAAAACAGAAATAAGGCAAATAACAGTATTAAATGTGCCGCTCGGCATACACCATATTTATATAGATCTCAAAACCAATATCTAAATCTAAGACCCAGAAACCCACGAATCACAAGCTAAGAAAAAGAAAATACTACATATCTCTAACTCCGGAATTTGTCTAATAAGAACATAAAGTACAGAAGGGCTAAATACTAAAGGCAGGAATAGAAAGGGAATCCTCGGTCTACGGACACGGCAGATGTACCTCGAGTCTCTAAGTAGACGCCTCCCTCAAGGATGGTAGGCCTGAGTAGAAGTATCTGGATCTGCACATGAAAAACATGCGCAGAAGAGGCATGAGTACACTACAGCGGTACTTAGTAAGTGCCAAGCCTAACCTCGGTTGGGTAGTGATGAGGAAGGTCAGGGCCCTATTGAGGTTAAATACAATATAAGGGTTAACAGTATGGAATAAAACAGTATAAATAAGTGCAACTAAGAAATAACATAGAATTGACAGAACAACAACTAGAACAGAGACAAACAAGCCACGGAAAGAAATACAGCTTGACACAAAGATAACAACCGGGGCACCTTCCAGGATACCATCCTGTAGTCCCAATTACAACTGTCCAGTGGATCTCCCGGGATACCGTCCCGTAATCCATCATATATATGTCCGAAGGATCTCTCGGGATCCCATCCCGTAGTCCAACTATCAATGCGCGGGGATCTACCGAAATTCCGATTCGTAGTCCCAAATGTAAATACCTAGTATTGGGGAAATCTACCTGGTGCATTTCCGTAGTTCCATATAACTGTGCAGGGGGATCTACCAGGAATCTAACCCGTAGTCCCAAAGTAAATGTACAGGGGGATCTACCGGAATCTAACCCGTAGTCCCAAAGTAAATAGACAAGGGGGAGCTACCGAAATCCCACATCCGTAGTCCCAAAATAAATACACAGCAGCAGCAGGAAGATAAACAGAAATGGCAAAATTTCATATTAAGGAAATAAGTGATACTAGCCTAGCATGCTGCACAGAATTCAAGTAAGGCAGGTTGAATCAAATAAAGCAATTAAGTCAATTAGACATGCTTTTCTAAGCTAACAACAGGCTTAATAGTGCAAGAAATAGAAACAGGAAAGGAAACATACTAGTATTTACTTAAAGAAAACTGGATTTCCAACAATTAGCACAAGTACACACTCATCACATCACGTACAAGGCATTTCAATTACCAAATATACTAATCCTAAGGGAAAGGTCCCCCACACAAGGTTAGATAAGCCACTTACCTCGAGCCTGCTCAAAATCAACCAAACACCACGTCTTTGCCACGAGTACTCGACTCCAAATGGCCCAAATCTATTCAATTCAATTGCATAATGTAAATAACACTTCAAGTAACTGATTCTACAATTAAATTCTAAGCTAATACGCAAAATTATGTAAAAATGAGCAAAACGCCCCTTGGGTTCGCATCTCGAAATCGTGTAAAATTTATAGTTTCAGAATCCTCACACTCTCACGAGTCTAACTATACCAAAATTATTCAAATCCGATGTCAAATCCCCAATCAAAACCCAATTTCTTGGCCTAAGAACTTTTCCCAATTTTCATAAAAATTCCGAAAATAAAGAATGAATTCATATTTATATTAATGGGTTACAAGAAAAAATGAGTTAAGAATCGTTATCCAATCGATACCTCTTAAAATCCCTCAAAATCTCGCTCAAATCCGAGCTCCCAAGCTTAAGTTTTGATAAAAATGGCTATACCCTCAATTTTGAAATCTTATATCTGTCCAGAAAATTCCTTCTTCGCGTTCGCGAAGTACAAAATAACTTTGACCATTTTTCCTTCTTCACGAACACGTCCTTCACTCCGAAAACGCGATGCCTTGCACAGACGAACCTTCGCGAACGCGACGGGCACCACGCGAACGCGATGCACAAAACTCCACTGGGCCAATTCCTCTTCCGCGAACGTGAAGCCCAATCACGAACGCATAGCACAACCATCCAGCCCCTTCGCGAACACGGAGGCCCTCTCGCGAACGCGAAGGCCAAAATTTCCCCCTATCCCAGCTCCTCTTTGCGAACACGAGAACCCTCCCACGAACGCGAATAAGGAAACCAGAACTGATTGTTGCAACATTTTCTGCAATTTCCTAAGTTCCAAAAATGATCCATTGAGCATCCGAAGCACACCCGAGGCCCCCGGGATCCCAACCAAACCTCCAACCAATCCTAAAACATCATTCAAACTTCTTCCAACCTTCAGAATTCTCAAAATAACATCGAAACACATATTTTTCATCGGATTCAAGCTTAAAAAGTCCAAAAACTCTAAAAACACACTTTCGATAAAAAAGTCTACCAAACCTCGTCCGAATGACCTAAAATTTTGCACACACATCCCAAATGACATGACAAAACTACTACAACTCTCGGAATTCCATTCCGACCCTTAGATGAAAATCTTACTATCGAACCGGAAACTTCAAAAACTCAACTTCCGGCATTTCAAACCTAAATTAGCTACGGACCTCCAAAACACACTCCGAACACACTCCTAACCCCGAAATGACCCAACGGAGCTAACGGAACCATCAGATTTCCATTTCGAGGCCGTCTTCATAATGGTCCAACTACAGTCAACTTTCCAACACTTAAGCTCTCATTTAGGGACTAAGTGTCCCAAAACTCTTCGAAACTCAAAACCGAACATCCCAGCAAATCGAAATAGCAGAAATAAACTTAGGGAAAGCAGTTAATAGGGGATCAGGGCATTAATTCTTAAGACGACCGGCTGGGTCGTCACATCCTCCTATACTTAAACATTCGTTCGTGCTCGAACGAGCATAAAGACATGCCCGAAGTAGTGAAAAGATGAGGGTAACGGCTGCGCATATCCTGCTCGGTCTCCCAGGTCGCCTCCTCTACCGACTGACCCCGCCATTGGACCTTCACTGATGCAATGTTCTTTGACCTCAACTTTCTAACCTGCCTGTCCAATATTAGCACTAGCTCCTCAATATAATATAGATCCTTGTCCAACTGGACTGAACTGAAATCCAACACGTGCGACGGATCGCCGTGATACCTCCGAAGCATCGAAACATGAAATACCGGATGAACTCCTGCTAGGCTGGGAGGTAAGGCAAGCTCATAAGCAACCTCCCCAACACGCCTCAATATCTCAAAATGGCCAATATATCTCGGACTCAACTTTCCCTTCTTCCCAAATCTCATAACGCCCTTCATAAGCGAAACTCGAAGCAGAACCCGCTCTCCAACCATATAGGAAACATCACGAACCTTCCGGTCCGTGTAACTCTTCTGTCTGGACTGGGTTGTGCAAAGTCTATCCTGAATTACCTTAACTTTCTCCAAAGCATCATGAACAAGGTCTGTGCCCAACAATCTGGCCTCACTCCACTCAAACCAACCCACCGGGGATCTACACCGCCTCCCATATAAAGCTTCATACGGTGCCATCTGAATACTGGACTGGTAGCTATTATTGTAAGCAAACTCCGTCAATGGCAAGAACTGATCCCAAGACCCTCCAAAATCAATCACACACGCACGTAGCATATCCTTAAGAATATGAATAGTGCGCTCGGACTGTCTGTCCGTCTGAGGGTGAAATGCTATACCCAACTCCACCCGAGTACCCAACTCATAGTGAATGGCTCTCCTGAATCGTGATGTGAACTGAGTGCCTCTATCTGAAATGATGGACACTAGAATACCATGCAAACGAACAATCTCCCGGATATAAATCTCTGCCTGTCGCTTCGAGGAATAAGTAGTATACACAGGAATAAAATGAGCGGACTTGGTCAGCCTATCCACAATCACCCAAATAGCATCAAACTTTCT